ATAAAACCTTTTTTACCAGCAGTCAGGAGATGAGGAGACATAATGTCCTGGGTAAGCTTGCTGCCAAGGACCCTCCAAATTACTGAGAAGCAACCATATCAATTTGAAGACTAACATGTGACTGATTCAGGCCAGGATCTTTCAAATCTCTTGCTATGCATGTGAGAGCAGAACTATGAATAAGAAAGAATGACAAGGATTGAGCTAGGTGTTGGAGAAGAGTATTGAATATGCCATGGACTGCCACAAGAATACGTATGTCTTGGAGAAAGTGCAGCCAGAGTGTTCTTTGGAGGAAAAGATGGTGCAGCTTTATCTCACATTGAGCATATTGTTAAGAAAAGTTATTCCTTGGAAAGGGGTGTCATGTTTGAAAAGATGAACATTTAACAAAAGAGAGGAAGGAAGAACCTTAACTAAATGGATTGATACAGTGACTACAACAATGGACTCCAGTATGCCAGAGATTATGAGAATGACACAGGATAGGGCAGGGTTTAGCTCTGTTGTTCATAGGGTTTACAGAAAGTGAGTCATTTTCAACTAAATGGCACCTAGAACCAACCACATCATTGATCAATGCCTCTCTTGATCCCTGCAACCCTACAAGTTATACTCCTATTTTCACAGTAATGGTCTTACACAGTATTTGTCCTTTTATGACTGAGTTATTTCATTCAGTATTCGGTTCCCAGCCTTAACTATGTTACATAGTATGCTACTGTTTGGTTGATCCTTAGCAATGCATAATATTCCATCATTTTCTCCACCACAATTCCAACACAATTTCTCTTTCCCTTTGTTTGCTGATGGGAAATCAGGCTATTTCTATTTTCTTACTATTGTGAATAATGCTATGACAAATATATTGTTGTTGTTGTTGTTGTTGTTGTTCATTGCCTTCGAGTCAAGCACGACTCATTGCAACCTTATGAAAGAAAGGCTTGAAGCCCCTCTACAACTATCAACATTTATCAAAGTTCATAGGGTTTCCGGAGGCATGTTGTTTAGGAAGTGGATAAGTCGTATATATTTGTTTGTGCCTCTGCTCTGATTCTTCTAGTTAAAGTCTTAAAAGAAATAATACATATATTTCAATCCTGTATGCTAATGTAATTTATTTCCTTTTTCATTTATAGATGGTTATGTCCTACGGAGTTATTTAGATGATGGGTGAGTTCATTTTTTTTCTATATTTTTTTCACTATAGTTTTAAAAACAAGTTGGTGCTTTTCTAATATAGTTTAAGTAATATGATTTCTGTTGTACATTCTGTTGTACAACGACTGGAGCAGCACATCAACAGAGAACTACCAGAAGTCCAGGCTGGTTTCAGAAGGGGTCGTGGTACTAGAGATATTATAGCTGATGTTAGATGGATCTTGGCTGAAAGCAGGGAATACCAG